CATTCTATGAAGTTTTGAAATTTTTGATTTTTTTTCTTTTTTTTGGCAACTAAAAATATAAAATTTCATTCAAAGTTGGTGGCCACAGGTATTCTAAGCCATTCTGTGAAGTTTTGAAATTTTTGTTTTTTTGCTTATTTTTATTTTTTTCGGCACCTAAAAAATTAAATTTCCTCAAATTATTTCAAATTTAGTTTGAAATTTTATTTTTATTTTTTCGCACCTAAAAAATTTAAATTTTGCTCAAAGTTGATGGCCACAGTATTCTAAGCCATTATGTGAAGTTTTAAAATTTTTAATTTTTTGCTTTTTTTTTTATTTTTTTAGGCACCTAAAAAAATAAAATTTCTCTCAAAGTGGGTGGCCACAGGTATTTTAAGCCATTTGTGAAGTTTTGAAATTTTTGCTTTTTTTCTTATTTTTATTTGTTTTGGCATCTAAAAAAAATTAAATTTCGCTCAAAGTGGGTGGCCACAGGTATTCTACGCCATTCTCAAAAGTTTTGAAATTTTTTATTTTTTTTTTTTTTTTCGACACATAAAAAATTTAAATTTCACTCAAAGTGGATGGCCACGGATTCTAAGCCATTCGTGAAGTTTTGAAATTTTTATTTTTTGCTTTTCTTAATTTTTTCGCATCTAAAAAAATTAAATTTCGCTCAAATTGGGTGACCACATATATTCTAAGACATTCTGTCAAGTTTTTAAATTTTAGATTTTTTGATTATTTTTTATTTTTTTTGGCATCTAAAAAAAATTAAATTTCGCTCAAAGTGGGTGGCCATAGGTATTCTAAGCCATTTTGTGAAATTTTGAAATTTTTGATTTTTTTATTTTTTATTTTATTTTTTTCGGCATCTAAAAAAATTTAAATTTCGTTCAAAGTGGGTAGCCACAGATTTTAAACCATTATGTGAAGTTTTGAAATTTTTGATTTTTTGCTTTTTTTTCCCACCTCAAAGATCGTGGCTTCCAGATGAACATGTGTTTTAAAGAAAGAGTTCTCTCAGAAATGATTCTCATTTTTGGTCTAGAAATAGAAAACCAACTTTTTTTTGGTTCTGATTTCTAGTTCAGAATCGGTTCTGGAACAAAAACTTGTCCCAGAAATAGAAAAATGAAATTGCGTTAACAAACGGGTTTCTGGTCCAAAACTGATTCTGGGAACAAAAAACCAGTTCTTGACAGAACCAGAATGGTTATCATGCGGTCCCTAAATGTATACACACAGAAAATATATATTATAGAGTATAAAGAAATAAAAATATATAAATAAAAATAGCAATAAATAAAAATGAAAATGATTTTTTTTTGCTAGTTTGGATTTTGTTTTTAATATTAGATTCAAATTTTTTATTATTTAAGAAATTTATCATTCAAGAAAAATATCTTTTATACCACAAATATAAGAAATCATATCCAATTTTATCTCATATTTCCCATATCCAGGCTATATCCCTTTATAACCAATTTTATCCTGACTTGGGCATGAATCAAACACAGAATATGTTAAATGTTATCATATTCTGACTTATATCTTAACTGCCAAACGTAACCTAAGAGTCTAATTCCACCATCTAGACCTCAAAGTCTAATTCAACCTTTGACACCTTAGGTGCTTTGAAAACCATTAGTTCGTCAGAACCTGGTTTTGTTCCTGAATCGAGCTTGGACCAAAAACCCGTTTGGTAACGCAATTTCATTTTTCTATTTCCGGACAAGTTTTCTTCCAAAATCGATTAAACCGAAATGAGAACCAAAAAAAGTTGGTTTTTCATTTCCGGAACAAAAGTGAGAACCATTTCGAGGAATTCATTTTCTTCAACACACATATTCATATGGAAGTCACGATAATTGAGGTGAGAAAAAAAAGCAAAAATCAAAAACTTCAAAACTTAACAGAATGGTTTAGAATCATGGCTCCCACTTTCGATGAAATTTAAATTTTTTAGGTACGAAAAAAATAAATAAAAATAAATAAAAATAAAAAATTTCAAAATTTCACAAAATGGCTTAGAAAACCTATGGCCACCCACTTTGAGCAAAATTTAATTTTTTTAGTTGCCAAAAAAAATAATAAATAATAAAAAATTCTAAAATTTAAAAACTTCACAAAATATCTTAGAATACCTGTGCTACCCAATTTGAGCGAAATTTTATTTTTTAGGTGCTAAAAAAATAAAAAAAAAAAAAAAAATCAAAAATTTCAAAACTTCACGAATGGCTTAGAATACTTGTGGCCATCCACTTTGAGTGAAATTTAAATTTTTTAGGTGCCGAAAAAAATAAAAAATTTCAAAACTTCACGAATAGCTTAAAATACCTGGCACCCACTTTGAGTGAAATTTAAATTTTTTTATATGCCAAAAAAATAAAAATAAGCAAAAAGTAAAAATTTCAAAACTTTACTGAGAATGGCTTAAAATACCTGTGGCCACCCACTTTGAGCGAAATTTTATTTTTTAGTTGCCGAAAAAATAAAAAATAAAAAAAAAAAAAGAAAAAATTTCAAAACTTCACAAAATGGCTTAGAATACCTATGGCCATCCACTTTAAGCGAAATTTAAATTTTTTTAGGTGCCGAAAAAAATAAAAAAATAAAAAAATAAAAAAACTTCACATAATTGCTTAGAATACATGTGGCCACCCACTTTGAGTGAAATTTAATTTTTTTAGGTGTCGAAAAAAAAAATAAAATTAAGCAAAAAAGAAAAATTTTCAAAACTTCACAGAGTGGCTTAGAATACATGTGGCCATCCACTTTGAGTGAAATTTAATTTTCTTTAGGAACCAAAAAAAAAATCAAAAATACCATTTGGGCATCTAAAAAAAATTAAATTTTACTCAAAGTGGGTGGCTAGAGGTATTGTAAGTCATTCTGTGAAGTTTTGAAATTTTGATATTTTATGTTTTTTTCACCTAAAAAATTTAAATTTCACTCAAAGTGGATGGCCACATGTATTCTAAGTCATTCAGTGAAGTTTTGAAATTATTGATTTTTTTTTTTTCACCTCCAAAATTAAAATTTCACTCAAAGTGGGTGGCCACGGTATTCTAAGCCATTCTGTGAAGTTTTGAAATTTTTAATTTTTTAAATTTTTTTGGGTATCTCAAAAAAATTAAAATTTACTCAAAAAGTGGGTGGCCACAGGTATTCTAAGCCATTTTGTGAAATTTGGAAATTTTTTTTTATATTTTTTGGGCACCTCAAAAATTTAAATTTTACTCAAAGTGGGTGGCTACAAGTATTCTAAGCAATTCAGTGAAGTTTTGAAATTTTTGATTTCTTGATTTTTTTAAAAAATTCAACAAATTTCCTATTTTCCCGAAATCTGAATTTTTTTATTTTCTTGACATTTTGATGATTTTTCTGGAATTTTTCAATTTTTGGGATTTTCTGATTTTTTTTTGAGATTTTTATGAATTTTTCAGATTTTTTAATTATTTTTATTCCATTTCTAAAAAAATGGATTTCTGTTCCTGGAAATAGAATTTTCTGTTGTTTATCAAACGGGTTTTTGTTTCAGGAAATAGAAATTTTGTGCTGTTATCAAACGGGTTTCTGTTCTAGAAATAGAAATTTTTGGTCGTTATCAAACGGGTTTTTTTTCTCAGAAACTCATCCAGGAACCAGAAATAGAAAAATCTATTTACGTTCTCATTCGAACAAAATGGTTATCAACCCTTAGAGTCTAGTTCAACCTTTAAAATCTCCTAGTTTAGCTCGAGTTTTTCGACCTCAAGACATTTAAAACATCACAATCTAGTTCAATCTTTTAGACCTCAGTGTCTAATTCGATCTTTAAGACCTCACAGTCTAGTCCAACCTTTTCTACCTTGGAATCTAGTTCCATCTTTAAGACCTCAGAGTCTAATCTTTATCTTTAAGACCTCAGAGTCAAGTTCCGCCTTCAAAAACTTAAAAGAGTCTAGTTCAGCTTTCAAGCCACAGAGCTTAGTGCAACCTTTGGGACTTCACAGTCTAATTCAATTTTTAAGACCTCGGAGGTTAAATCCACCTTTTAAGTGTGATAATCGGTCTCTGAGCATTATCATGAGGGTTATATATCTGGTATGAAATATTTTTTTAAGCTATAATTAATCCCATGTACATGTATGAGCCGGTTATAGTCCTACTCGCTTCCCTGAAGTGAGGCAATATCTCCACGTGAGATAGCAAATGCTCAAGGCACAATTTGGTATGAGGTGTTTGCTCATGACAGCTCGAACATGCATTCAAAGCAAGTTCAATTGATGCATCCAATCAATTTCGATTACGCATTCATATGACATTCAAACAACATAGAATGAATTCAATCTAACCGATATGTACAAAATACGTCGTTATAAAGTCAAAATGCTTTTAGAAATTATGTGCATTTTTAGGCTAGTGTAACGACTCTTTTACATCTTAGATCCGAAGTAGGCTATTAGAATTCTTGTTCTCAAATTGCCTAACCTTATTTCAAAAGCGTCATTCAAAAATTTAATATCGAAACGTGTCTTCACATAAATTTCAAATATTTCATTCGTAAATTCGATCGATTAGACTTAATTCATCCTATTTTGTCTGAATCATCTAAATGTGTAATTGAAATCGATTGGATTCATCCATTGAACTTGCTTTGAATGCATGTTCGAGCGAGCATATTCGAGCTATGTCATGAGCAAAACTCTAAACAAATTGTGCCTTGAGCATTTGCTATATCGTGTGGAGAGATTTCTCGACTTCAGAGAAACCAGTAGAACTATGATCGGCTCATACACGTACAAGCAATTAATTATAGCTTAAAAAAACATTTCATACCAAATATATAACCCTCGTGATAATGCTTATAGAGGTAGCTACACGGGTCACCTCTCCTCACCTTTTTTATGGATCGTATCATTCTTTGATATAAATAAGGAGCATTCTTGATGATATCTTACCTGTGTGTGTGTGTGTGTATGTGTGAGAGAGAGAGAGAGAGAGAGAGAGAGAGAGAGAGGGCAGGACAATACTTGTAGACTGTAAGGAGGGCCTGCTTCCTTATTTAAACTCTGTTTACAATACATGCAAAGAATGAGCTGCTTCTTCCTGTAATTAACCCAATATATAGAAAACGAAGGGTATCAAATCTACCCTCACTTCCCAACCCCTTCCTTCTAACTTCTGTGATGGCGCAAATCGAATATCAAGTGGAGTCAGCACTTCATGGCAGGGGTTGTGTTAGTTTACTAATATCGACTCTCGCATATGATGCTTCAAGCAGCCATTCTAGAAGTTCCATACCCGTTGCGGTGCGACTTTTGCCATCTCCATGCTATACCCAAGCTCTCTTGAAGATCGGTGTATTTCGCCGTCCAATTTAGCTCGACCTTGATCTTGGTGGGGTCACTATACACTTCTGCATAATCACCAGGCCTTCGTGGCAGGTAATCAACTTTGATGTCCACTCCAGTTGCCTTCTTGCAAGCATCCACAAATTCCTTCACTGATCTACCTGTTTACATAAATTCCAACATATCTATGATACGTGAAAGCATAAGCAGATACATCTGTTCCTTCTCACAAAGCATAGACAGATAAATTTCTGGCATATCTAAGTTCTTCATCTGTTCATTCTCACAAACAGTTACATGTGTTTTTATCTTCTACCTTCTCAAGAAAGTGACTCGAAATTCTGTCAATCCACATATATCTTATTTTATCAATAATATTTCTCATTGCATGAAGGTTTTTATCACTGATAAAAGGTACTCGTAAAATTTTATTTTTCGAAATAAAGTAGTTCGAAAGCATAAAAACAAATTTTCTACTTTCCCAGAGTTCGCTTCTCAAGGGATGCCACCAAAGCAAAATCAGCTCTCTAAATTTTCGACAAATACTAAAACAAGAAAATGGAAAGTTGCCTCTTATCAAAAGAATCAAATTCATTTCCCCATACCTTTGCCAGTGCCGACATTGTATATTCCTACATTCTTGGGACTTGCTTTTTCAAGAGCTTTCACATGAGCATCAACTAGATCAGTGACATCAATATAGTCCCTGACACAAGTACCATCCGGCGTGCTATAGTCCGTTCCTTTAACCTGCGAAAACCAAAAACTTCAGATTGGCAAATGCTGTGTCCTATCTCCTAACCACTCAGAAAAGAAAGCAAAAACAAAAGAGCCTTACTGCCAAGCTTAATACCAGTAAAGAATAGTGCAAAATTGGACACAAACAATAAAACCCCAAAATCATCGTACCTTCAACCCAGGAATGATCCTGCGGGCAGCATCAAAACAGGCACCTGATATTCGTCCATGCTCACGTAATTCAGGTCGTGGTGCTTCTCCCAGTCTTCCGTCAGGGTCTGACCCAATCACATTGAAGTACCTGGGAAGTATTCACCCAGTAAACATTTAGAAAAAAAAATTTGTCAGAACTATCAAAACACAATACTATCATGTACTGAAGATTCTATATCCGTATTACTCTAGCAGAGATAATCCCACAATGAATTGAGTAAACAGTATCGCACTGTTAAAAATATTTTCAGGTCAGCCAATGCTGCAACATGAAAATCATAGATCAATCAACAAGCAACACTTTTCAAAATGGGGACTTCCCCACCAAGAATTGCATGTGTACAACATAGATGGCAATCATAATCTACAATACTGTGACAACTTTACAGAAAACTGACTGGCATATTCCATAAAGAGATATATCACAAAATAAGTATTGACTATTGAGTATGAGAATACCATTTCCATAATAAAAACATTGTAACTAAACATAAGTGTTTGATTTCGACAAATTAAAATTAGTCTCGGTAAGAGAAAAATATATAAGAGCAACAAAACGACTTAGATAAGGTCATCTAAATTCAAAGCAACCAAATTGATAAAAAAAATTAACCTAGCAAATCGAAATACATGATAACATTATCATGATTACTGTCTTAATTTTATTCAACCAAATGCGTGTTACATGTACAAGACATACCTTAGTATCATGATAGCCATGCCAGAATTTTTAGAAAAATCAAGAATGATATCTTCTGCCATCTTTTTGGCCTTTCCATAAGGATTAATTGGTACCTGAACTTACACCACAAATACAATGCGGTCAGCCCCAGTAGAAAAAGAACATATCAAGAAGCATGGAAAGACATATATTCAGGTAAAGAGTTGCAACAAGTGACAACTTTCACCTGCGGAGTGTTCTCGGTAATAGGCATCGTCTTAGGCTCTCCATAAGTTGCACACGTGCTAGAATATATCAAGGTCTTGACACCATGCGCAGCCATAGCTTCTAATACTACCAATGTATTTGATGTTATGTTATGGTAATACCTGCCAAGATCATTAAATGATGATTTCAAGCCACAAAAGCAATTTCAGCTCATCAGAACAAATGAAAAACAAGGAATGAGCACTTAGTTTAAAACGGCCAAGATAGAAATATGCAATTTCGGGAAAATATAAATTATGATCACTGAACTATAGTGCACTTAGCAATCAAAAAACTAAACTTCGACTCCAATCAACAAATGGTACTAAACTTCCATTTCTTTGCAATTGATGCAGCTTAATACGAGTGAACCAATTTTCCAAGTATTGACATGGACGCTCATGGTGCTGACATGGACTCCAAGTGATTGAAATCAAAGTTAAGTAACTAATTGCAAATCGCACAAAGTTAAGTAACTAATTGCAAATCGCGCAGACTTCAATAACTGCTGATTGAATCACCCTTGCAAACTGTCAAGGTCTAACTTAAAAAATATATATTCACAACACTATTCTCTAACAGCCTAAACTTTTTATAGAGACAATTATGCGATCCACTTTAGTTTGATAGCTTATAAATATATGGGTCTCCCTTTTTTATACGTCATGATTTTCTACATATTCTTTCACCAACACTTATCAGGTTTAAATGCTTTAAGGCCCTCATCATCCTGTCAATTTTCCTGTAAAGAAGTCTTAAGATGTAAGACATATACGCACTTTCTCTAATAGCTTAAAGTTTTAGAGAAAACAATTGCAGAGTCAAATCTAATGCTAACAGAATATAGCATTTCACGTACATAGACATATTAAGAAGTAGCATGTTAGTGTTAAAGGTATCGGAAAGTTTCTCATCCTAACATTTTTAATTTTATGTAATAAGTGTAATAATTCACAAAAATTTAAACTTTAAAACATCTTTTAAAAGTATCTCACTTCTTTACCCACAAGCTGGCCGAAACCTACTTAGACCTTCACAACTATGCACAGGAGGAAATTTACAACAAGCAGCCACGGCCCCAATATCAAATAGAACCCTTGTTCACAGTTGAACTTACAAGCATACTTGAAGGATACTTTTAATTTTTAAAATCAAAATTAAAAAGTCACAAACCTTTAGAAAGTGATATTAATAATTTGGTGCTGAATCCGAATTCAGTAACTTAGAGAATCAGTCACAATTGGCAAGATAGGGAGCACATCATCAATTGACTAAAGAGGGTCAAAGAATCAACCTTTTATTCACATTCATCAATTAAAAACTCATATGCACCCAATGCCAGCTGGATGAATGCAACTCCAAATATGTTACGTACTCCAAAGTCCTACTTGAGTATACTATCTTTAGAATTTTAAGAGGGATAATGGAAGACATGCTCGATCATCCTTCATTTTCAATGACATAGAGCACACCATCCAAATGTTGAACACTAAGATGGATGAAGTACGTCGGAACATCTTAAGAACACCATGGATGATGGACAGCCCATCTCTCATTTCAAAATGGTAAAGGACAAATTTTCAGTGCAACTATGTAACTTAATTTTTTGATACACGATGATTAGACAAGAGAGGTATGGGATCCATCAAAAATACTTATGGCATCATGCACCTAAGCTGGTATACTACGTGTCCCATGAAAAGGCCACCCTATGTACAATAACATGCATCCAAGTTTTAATAACTAGACATAGGTCGTTTGCCAACCAATCAACGTATCTTTCTTCCACAAGTGTAAGAAAGTTCAAGTAGAGCGAAGAGTAGGAAGATTGTAAAGAACCAGTCGTCATACTCATACCCAGTATAATCAGGCCAGTTATTGAGGAAGGTTTTAGATAACTAAAAGTTTGCCATTCATGGTGGGTAACAAATTAGCGAGATAAGCTCCGAGAAATACTGCAATGTTGCTGGAAAATCCACTGCTCCAGCAACTGCAATAGTGTTTTGCTTGGTATAGAATTCCACTAGAAAGGAACGACACATCGCCATACAAAGAGGAATTTTTGCCATGGCGGGTCAGACATGAAACTACGATTTACTTCTGAGGAAATCCTGTGAATTTGGCGTCCCATGGTAAAAAATAAAAGTGGCGATATAAAATGATAATCATGACGATTAGAGTATATTAAAGCCTCAGACGAATGAGAATGCAGAGTACTTCTAACCATAATAACAAGCAAACTATCAAAACTTTCATCTTGTCAAACAGACGTGTCAGAAGAATAAGTAACTCCCAATCAAACTTTTCATCTTGTTGAACAGACATGTGAGAAGAATAAGTATCTATCAATCAGTTAAGAGTTAAATGCCAAAGCCAAACCATGCTGGCTAAATACCTACGAGCAGCAGAATGCAAAGCCAAACCATGCTGGCTGAATACCTAAGAGCAGCAGAATGCGGAACGGAACAGAATAGATAAGTGCACTACTATGACCTTTCCACACAGAAGCCTATACAGTCTCAAACTAAAAGGCAAAAAAATCGCAATGTATTGCATGTAGATGAAATAACAAACTAAACATGGTTGTTGCCTGTGTAATTCCTAATCCTTAATATTTGAAGCCTGGTCTAATCCAATGTAGACAGAACATATTTGTACTCAATTAGTGTCCTCGTTCTTACCATTTTGCGTTAAACCATTTACTATTCAGTTCACATCAGCAAAGCAAAGGGCGGATCTGACATACTACTTATACTGAAAGACCTATATGCAGACTCACAATAAATTTAGGCACCAATTTTAAGTGATATGTTTAAAGGCCCAATATATACCAGAAAAGAAACATACCTCAGAGGCTCTAGCGTGCTTTCTCCAACATATGCTACAGCAGCAAAATGCATCACGGCATCAAATGCATTTTCTGAAAATATTTTGTTGACCTAATGGCAAATCAAAGAAAACAATCCAAAGCAAATTTGCAAATAACAACGTTGCTTATTTGGGAGGGGATTTTGCATCCAACTAATGGTTTCTCCTGGCAAATATTTGGTTTGGCAGATAAGTTAGGCATGGGCTTCGGCTGAAGCCAAACACATGAAGCTGGAAACCCAGCTTCAGACTTTTAATTTGAGGGTTTATTTTCATAAAACAGTGTAAATACAAAAGATTTTATATACAAATAATCTTAGTCATTATAATTGCAAATATATATGTTTCGTTCAAAATTTGAGATTGAGTAGCTCAATGTTATTCACAGTAAAACAAAGTCGTTCATTAGTTAAAAGTCAAATGCTAAACATTTTTTCTTGATAGAACTAATATCAAATGTAGAAGCCATAGGCAAAGCCCAAAAGCCTCAAGCCACCCTAACCCCTTGAAGTATCCCGACAAAAGAATCAACAAATAGAATAGATTATTGTGCATTAAGGATACACTTTTTGCATCCCCCAAATCTGCATAGATAAATTGCAGCCTTCCAGGCTCTGGAAACAGTTCCTGCAAAATCTTTACGGCAGCAAGATTTCCCCGAGAGAGATTATCCTGTGAGAAGACAATGTTTCTTGATGCTCAGTACACAAAAGGAGAAAAGACCAAATGATCCGAACTAGAGATACAGATACTAGGAAGTTACATACCACTATGGTCACACGATACGATTCCTTTAAAAGCCGCAATGCTGCATGAGAACCAATATAACCCGCCCCTCCAGTCACTAAGACATGGGTCACTCCCTGCTCATGAATGGAGAACTACAAGGGAGATGACAAAAACAGATAATAGAAGTTAGACATCAAGTTTGATACTTTTAATCCTAGCAAAATGACACTCTTGGTGAGGAAAAGCTTGCTGCTTGCATAATTAGACATAGAGGAAAGTGCGATGCAATAAGTCAGCCACATGAACAGTTATTTTATTGCATCGCATCCACAACTATGCTTGTGGGTGTTTCTTTATCACCCCCTTGGGTAACTTACATTTTTTTTCCATCTGAGTCCACATGGGGTAATGTGTTAGAGAGGGCAGGTATGCAGGATGAATTAAGAAGCCATTACAATAACAGGAGATTAACAATGTACTATTCTTTTGTCAATTTGTCGGTATGGTAAAGGGTGTTAGGAAGGGCAGGCATGCAGGAGAATTTATAAGTCATTAAAATCATAGAGGTCAACAAGTACTGTTCTTAACATGTTGTAAGTAATTACCCGGCTTGGTGTACTGAAATTTGGAGATTGCTTCAGCATTATAATGCATAATGCAGTAAGGGTAGCAGCCAAAATAATTTTCCCTACAAAATTGGTCTTCTTTTTTGGATCTGTATACTCCATGCCTGTATCAAATCAACATACCCATGCAAAGGAAGTTATTTCTCATTGATAAGCAACAAATAATATGTAATTAATGGAAAACAAAAGAATTATGACCAAATGCCATATTTTAACCCACAATTGGCGAAAGCTTTGTCAAAAAGATATAGAATCAAGTAGAAAACAAATGGACAAAGGAATGGATTTGGAAAATGAATGAACTGTGGGAAATCAAATGAAGACGGTCAAGATGTCCAATGTGTCCCATGAAAGAAGTATGAAAGAGAAGGAAGATGACTAGGAAGTAAAACTGCATTGTCTCTTGTCTGGCAACGGAATGAGCAGACCTCCCTACCAATCTAGCGTCTGCAGATAAAATCACAAACTCCCATAATCGTGAGAAGCAAAACGGTAGTTGACATTGCCAACTCCATTTCCACCCAATTCCTTCTATCAAGGTTACCTTAAATCATAAAATGGCAAGAATATAAGGGAAGTGGCTGAAATAATTGGTGTGCACCAACTTCTCAATGAGGAAAGGTACCTTTGGGGTACCTCTCTGCAATGTAAGTTGGTACATATCCCCATGTTATATTACTGAAAAGAAATTTCTTTTCCATTTTCAAGGATATTAGAATAATTTCTTGCCCAGGATCTTTCTGCATCCAAGAAGCAGTAATGGACAAAACTGCGATCCCAATAAAAGATTCAAATGTAAGTTTCCTAAATATGTTGACATTCTCGAAAGACGAATTCATCTGAACAAAGTACATACGTACTTTACATCACTAAATCAAAATACAAATATGTTTGTGCCTCTCTTCCCTAATTCTGAACTTTCAAAGCCCAGGTAAAAAGGAAAGAATAGATTTCAAGTTCAAAACATCAGAGCACAAAAATATAAGGGTTCATTCCAAAGCAGTAAAAAACATCAGATTGTTTCACACTAGAATGCAAACTGAATTTCATCCATTCAAATGAATGTTCAAATTGACTTGACCAGGGTACTGCATGAAAACTTACTTCCCATTCCCAATGACAGAGATCGGTTAGACCTGCCCTGATTTCTATTTCTGCCAATGTTTAGCATTTGAATGCGACCGTCTTAATCAATTAGCCGTCTATGTATAACGGACACGATGATTCAGTCTCTCAGCAGAAATAAGCAAGAATTAAACCTCCTCGATATGGTCCCCTTGCAACCTGTTGTAGCAAAACACCAAATAATATCAGTCATTTTGCAAAACAATGATGTTCCAACTGAAAAGCCATAGAAAACAAAATCATTAATGGCAGAATCTAGCAGGCCCCATCAAGTTCAAAGGGAGACAAAACTTTAGAATTTCTGAAATTATTATCAGAAGGATAGCATCAATCTGAAAACCCAAAATTTCATAGCTCCAACTGATAATTCACAACTTGTCCCGAGGGAATATGTGCTCGCGGACAAGCAGAAGAAGAGGTCAAAATCAGAATGTCGCAATCCAGCGACGCAACAGAGAACAAGCTCATCCCTAAAAGATGCTGAAAGTTACCAAAGATCAAACCGTTTCGAAAGCATGTTGTCGATTTCCGAAGGACTTCACTTTCAAAGATTCCAAAAATCAAACCATTTAGGAAGAAAATTCTCCAAAACCGAAGCACATCGAGATCGAGGACAAGACACGACGAGCATCAAGCATCTCGAATTCGCAAGATCCCACCCAGAAACGATCTCAAACCACGCGAATTACAGCAAAAGGTGAAAACCCGGAATTTTTTTCCCCCTCACACAACGGCGATCAACTCGTATCCTCGACGAAATCAGAGGGAAAAAAAATCACAGGACGAGAGCACGGCACAAACAAGGAAAACATCAGAAACACAGGAAGGGCAAGCCCGCGGCACAGTCACCGCAAATTATCATCTGGGTACCCGAAAAAAGGGCAAGGCGCAATAAATGCTTCACGGTCGCCCAAAAAACAGGACACGCAACGAAGGGAAAAAAAAACAGGACAAAGGAGGGAAGACGAGGGGGGGGTCGCCTCACCGTTTTCCGCGAGGGGATCGATCCGACAGTCAAGAGGAACGGGGAGCTTCCGGGCACGGAGCGAAGAGGGTCTCGGCGGGGCGAGGCTTATAAAGCCTTGGAACCGCACGAGCTTTGAGTACAGAGCACGACGGAGGAAGCAGGGAGGAGGAGATGCAGGGAAGGAAGGTCAAAGGTCGTAACGTAAGAGAGAGAAAGAGAGGGGAATGGTAAACAATGCGTTCGACGACAAGGCGAAGAGAGAGAGAGAGAGAGAGAGAGGGAGAGAGAGGGACGTAGACTGGTCTCGTGGGCGCATTTGAATCGCTGAACAAAGGAAAGAGAGAGAGAGAGAGAGAGTTGAAGTAGGCGGAGATTTCTCTGCGTTCATGTTGTTGTCGAGTGTGAAGAGGGAGGCCCCCCCCGGGGGAGGTGGGCGGGCGGTGTGGGGTGTGAAGGGTACAGAATATATTTTAAAAAAAAATTTGCCTTTAAATAAATTTTGGCTTAAAAAAAAAGGCCAAAAATAGAAGAAAAATAAAAAAATTAATATCACGAAAAACTCCAAATTGATGCACCTCTAACTAATTTACGCCTAACTAATTTTTTACTACCAAAATCATCAAACTGATATACTTGTGACAAATTCGTCATCTATTGAATTGGATTAATACCACGAAAAACCGCATACTAATAAATCTATGGCAACCTAAAGGGTAAAACTCTAAATCAGTACACCCGTCAACTGTCACGTGTCAACCAACCTAGCAATTTGACAGTAAAATTTAGCGGAAACTAATGAATAGTAAATTTGTCGCAGATATATATTAGTTTAGGGTTTTTAGAGATCAAAAAATTAGTTTTTGGTAAACTTGTCACAGGTGTATCGGTTTGGGAGTTTTTTATGGTATTAACCTAAAAGGAAAATAAGGTAGGTGCTGCTTTTTTTTCCTCTTTTTTTTTATAGAAATTTAATTCACTAGAGGATTCTGAACTTTATTGCATTTTCCGATTTAGTAACGAAGTCTTGATCTCAATCACCTAATTGATAGAACTGTTCCATTTCTAACAAAAAATGAACATATTATCCTATATCTCTAACCAAATATGAAACGACATATTATCATTGTGTCCGGGGCGTGTCACATTCCTCATGTTTTTGCGTTATTCGAGGCATCTCATCGGCTCACATGTTTGTTGAAGTATCTGAAAGTGACATATATGGAGCCGCGTTAACTTTCTGTCCAAAATTTGGACGGAAAGTGATCTGAATGTATTGATCCTGGCAAAAAAAAAAATGGAAGTTTAATGATAGGCAATTATCAATAAGGTGATTAAATTGAAAAATGCAACAATTAAATTTCGAAATGAGGAGAGTTTTCCTTATAAACAACCCTTCCCAAGAACATCCTATCACCCATCTACGGGTCTATACAGGCTTGCAAAAAGCTTGATAGTCCGTCTATCCATGATCAACTCAAAATGACAATCTCTTTATATAACTGGCAAAATACCCGATGGGCCTCCGGCGCCCACGTTCAGGTCCATCTAGGCTAAGCTCAAATCCTTGGTGCTCGTGCCCAATGACCCGGCATTTGAGCTCAAGTGCAAAAAGACCGCGCTTGGGACCCCGATGCTCGAGCTCCGGTCCCCGGCACTTAGGCCCAAGTCCACAAAAGGCTATGCCCGGGTCTATAGTTAATGAAACAGTCATTTCAAGAAAAATATTTAAAAAAAAATAGAATTTTTATTTTTCCTTTGCTTTTCTATCTTTTTCTTTTCTTATTTTATTTATTTTTCTTTTTGCTTCTTCCTCGGCCTGCGACTGCGACCGGCTACAGGCAAGGGACGAGCTCACGGGCGACCGGCCGATGAAGAAAGAAAAAGAAAAATAAAGAAAATAAAATTAAAAAAATTAAAAAATTCGAATTCTTTGGTAATTTTTTCCAAGGAAAATCAAATCAGATACCGCGTGGCGAAAAATATTTTCCAGTTCGTTTTTAGGTTTCAGCAAAATATCGAAAAATATTATCATGAAAAAAAATGACTTGACAGAAGAACTGTCGCACCTTTCACGAAACAAACGGAGCTTCGTCACATTTCTTTGCCTCGGGGCAAGATATTTGATGGCAACTTCCCCCCTTTGGTGCCACAAGCTGACAACGAATTACGCGCATGGAGCCTGGGCTGTTCCCTTTGGCGTGGACCCCGCAAAAAGGCTCTCGTGGGCCCCACGTCACTGGTGAAAACGTTGACGTGGTCGCCTGCATTTCGCCAATTCGCAAGTTCGCACCTGCAACTGCGGATCGCTACTGGTGATGCACTTTCTCCTGCTCCCTCCGTTTGGTCGATTTTTAAAAAATATTTTCTTAAATATAATGACTTGATAATTAGCGAATAACCAATGCATTCGTTATCGATAATAAATTATGTCTGAATATTTTCATAAACAATGAAAATATCTTTCGTTTATTCACTTTTGCAAAAAAACCTAATCGAGAAATATAAATAGAGCAAGCCCCATTTAAAATTAGAGTAGAAAGAGAAATAAAAATAGAAAATAAGAAATATTCCTACTTTGTGTGAACAGTCGAGAATAATTTTTTATTCACTACAATTTGAGAAACTTTTGGTCTAGCGATCAATATAATAAATGCACTCTTTTTCCACACGATCCTTTCATATAATTGCCCATCCTACTAACTCTTTATTTCTGATTTGATACGTAATCAGTAAGCGATAATTTGATGTTATCCTCCACCTAATGCATTAATATGCCCTGAGTATATCTTGATTTATATTTAAAGTTATGAAAAAATATATATATGCATGCACAGAATTTACAAATCAGCGATTATATATTTTTGAAAGGTTTCAGGATTTTATCGCAAAATAAAGGTCAAAGAGCGTGCTTGCAAGATTTGGGTAGAGTATAGAGCAAAAAGTAGGTTATTGCCTTTTATTTTGTGCAATCAAATAAGCCATTTACATGCTCGAGGAGTATATATCAGTAATTCCTTTTTTTTCTTATTATTTTTTTCGACTCGATGACGGTTGGATTTTTTATTTTATTAATGCTTTGTTTCTTTAACAATTAGTAACAACTTGCAAAGCATATGCCCTAAGTACACTCTTTTCCACATGATCCTTTCATTGACCATATAGCACTATACCTAACCTACTAACTTTTTGTTTCTAATAGAGATAATGACACAAATAATCCCTGAACTTTGATTGAATGTGCAATTTGATCCTTGAACTTTTAATTTGTTCAATATAGTCCAATGTTCAATGTGGTCCCTAAACTTTTAATTTGTTCAATGTAGTCTCTAAACTTTTGGTACATCTTCAATTTAATCCCTAAACTATATAAAAATATACAATATAGTATCTGAACTTGAATTAATTGAAGGATTACAATGAATATTTTTATAAAGTTTGGAGATTATATTGAACATGTACCAAAAGTTCATGCACCACATTGAACATTGGATTAAAGTTCATGAATTACATTGAACAAATTAAAAGTATAAGGACTAAATTATACATTGAGTCAAAATTTAGGAACTATTTGTGTCATTTTCCATTTCTAATATAATACGTCATGGTTAAGCAATAATTTGATATATTATCCTCCAACTTGGAGCGATGCATTATGATTGCACCCTTCTTTATTTAGTTTTTTTTTTTTGTAGCTTTATGAGCTTGATGATTGAGAAATAAAACTTATTAGAATATTCACAAATTGTTTAAAGGGGCATGCCCTTGCGTGTTCTAGTGGGGAAAAGTCAAATGGGATACTTTCAAGAGAAGGGTAGGGCCCCCAACTTCACATGAACTTCCCAATTCGAAATTCTTTTTTTTAACAAATTTTTTTTACGTTGATAAAAGAATATATTTTTTTTATTTTTATTCTGCTTTTTATTGATTCCTAGAAAGATGAGTTGCCCTCATTGCAAACCTGCCTCATTCTTAGTGGGACAACTCATGCATTTAGGTGCAAAGTGTGGCACCCGGTTAATGTGCCAATCAACCAAACATGTGCATCAAATTTCAATAATAGCACTCATGTATGAGCACCTAGTTTAATCAATGCCCTCCATGATGCACTTGATTAATTGGAAATGTTAATTCGAAGTAATTTATAGCTGGATGTCAAGTATGGAATTTCTCGACTAGTCGATTCCATGACAAGCACGAGTTTGGTATCGATATAGAGAATGCAAGACAATCTCTTTATCTTACTGGGAAAAAGCCCAACTCACATGTGTAGTATAAAATGTGCTTGAGTCGCCTTATCTTCGCACATCGATGAAATTAAAAGGTGGGTCTTTATAGGCCAATGGCTTTATGGATGTCAAGATTCGTCTAACATCACTAATGTCATCAAAAAGATAAGAATCTAAAAGGACTTAGCTAAAGTCACACCTATACCTAATTAATTAATGAGTTCATTCCATTAAAATCAATCCATGGATGGCGTTTCTAGGGTGGGGATGGAACAATGGTTTTAACACTTGACGTGGACGTTCAAATGAATAGAAAATTGGATTTTTTTCCACTCGATTTTATCCTTCATCTCCCTAATTTCTTTACGAAAATTTGTGAAGTCATTTGTATATAACTCTCCATCTATATAGTAGTTCCAATTCCAAAGGAATATTCTTCCTATTGGACTTAATCTGGTGCGCGAAAACGAACCTTACGACATCACGAGGTCCTACCCAATCACATAAATCAAAGCTTCCATTATTAGTCCTCCCTCGATGCTGACAAAATTTGGATTTGAATGCCGAAAACAGAGGGCCTCTAGCCTTCGTAGGCCTTTGAAATTTTTTCTATCTTTTTTTCCATGCTTATTACCGAACTTATCGTTGACTCCAAACTAGGGCCGCCCAACTTGTCCGGCTTCTTCTCTCCTTGCCTGCCTCAGTCAGCACCCTCCACATGCTTTGACTTCTCCAAAGCCAACCCATAATCATGATTAAGTCCTAATCCAGTGGAAAAAATGCCTAACTTAGATAACACACTCGAATTTTTTTTTCTTGGATTTGTTTCTAAGTTCCTCATCAAAAAGAGGGAAAGCAAGCTTCTCTACGAGGGCCTCCACTTCTACGAGAGGTAACAAACTTTACAGATGCATACATTAATTTAACGTGTCGGGACCGGCACGCCTCGCATCGTCACTTCTTCCTGTATCTTTGTCTTTCTCGGGAGAAGGCAATACTCTCTAATTATGTTACATCTAGGGGATTCCGAGGTCCGGATGAGGCTCTAGATGAAGCGGTT